AGTGCCCTATCTTCAAATTCTCTCTGTTGAAATACCTACTGCGTGAGGATGTTCTTGTTTGCTTGTTTTCCTGACTACACTTAATACAGAAGCCTTCATAAATGCTGGTTATGATTATTTTCCAAACTTCCTTAAATATTTATTCCATGTGTTCCAGGCACCATATTCCATCTGGTGATTCAGGTTCTATGCTAGGTAATAGAGAAACCAGGAAAAATGAGACATAGTTCCTGCTTTGAAGGAGATTACATCCTAGTAAAGAGAATCAGCATGTGTACAAAAAAATGTAACAAAGTTTTTTGGGTGGATATAGGATACAGTAGAGGTAAAAAGGATGGATGGACCAGTTCTGCTGGGACCGTGCAGAGAGTAGGGGTAGAACAGCATCACAGAACTCACTGTTTTCCCTGCCCCAAAAGCACTTACCTCTTTTCTAAGTGTTTCTCATCAAAACAACTTATTCCAAATCCTCCATGAAGACTTCTGGTCATTTCAACCCTTTTTCATCACATTTTGTCTTGCGGGAGTTCTCACAGTCCCTGGAGGAGAAACTGGTATTTATTAGACTTATCTAATAAGCACAGTGATGAATGATTTGCCTGATTAATTCTCACTTGGTCTTTAATACTAATACTAATAATAAGACTGTAACAGGTGATTATATTTTCCCCAAATTTGTAGTTGAGAAAACTAAAGCCCAAAACGTCTAATAATTTGATCTAGGTCTCACAGCATGTAAGTGCTAGTCATGATTCAAAAGTATCTCTGAATCTCTTTCATTTCACTGTCACGTACTAAATTATGTTGTTTGAACCATTTGCAAACGAATTTCTAGCCTTTTCTATCAGCCCACATACTCCTTGAGGGCAGGCACCATGTCTTCTATTTTTTTTTAAGTCTCTACCAGTCTCTTCAGAATATGTTAGAGAATCAATAACTACTTGACTTATAACAAATGGATTTGCTGATCTGTCTCCTTTACTCTAGTTACATACTAGCTTTAGCTATGACTTGTTAACACTGTAACTGAAGTAAAATGGAAGGGAACTTTTAAAGGTTCCTGTCTGATAGACGGTGATTATCAGCTTAGGCAGTGGTTTTGAAAATGGAATGAACAGGTTCGCAGTTTGGTTTTCCTTAAAAAAATAAAATAAAATAAGAACTTTTCATGCTGCTTTGCAAAGAAAGCCAAATTTATTTTTCAGGACACAAATAGTCTCAAGAACCTATATTTTAATATGTTCTGACTTCGGGCTAAAAAAATGACATCCTTTCTAAAACTAAGAGTTTATTTATGCTTATGCATAATTTCATATATAGATAATGCAGTGAAACAACAGAAAATCATCTAGCAGGCTCTGAACTTTCTAATCAAGATCATGTTACATATATTTGATACTTGTTTATTTTCTCAAATCCATGAAAATATAGCAAGGTGAATCTGCTGGGGGGAAAAAAAAATCCCACGGATTTTGACTTCCCAAATATATCCCTGCTGTGTGCTGCATCCTGAGTCACTCAGTCATGTCCGATCTTTTCAACCCAGGACTGTAGCCTGCCAGGCTCATCTGGCCCGGGGATTCTACAGGCAAGAGTACTGGAGTGGGTTGCTGTGTCCTCCTCCAGGGGATCTTCCCAGCGTAGAGGTTGAACCTGCGTCTCTTTATGTTGCCTGCATTGGCAGGCTGGTTCTTTACCACTAGCAGCACCTGGGAAGCCCAGGACATATCTTTTGAGAGGGATCATTTCTTACTTCTGAGGGACATCAATTTCTAACTCTTCACACCCAGTAGTGATCATTTGTAAGAACAGATTCTGGTTGGTAAAAAAGAGGAAAGTCGGAGTAAATACTGATGTATTTGCCGTGGTTAAGTACGTAGAGAACCTATATCAACAGCATTTTGAAACTACAATAGGAAGCAAGTTCAAATGTAGCAACAAGCAAATAACACTGAAGGAGTGCTCCTCCTGTGGCAGATAAATAAATTAGTTATTTGTGGGGGATTATACAAACAACAACAGGAAGCATTCTGATAGACAGGAGCCACGTTCCCTGAGCTGGATAGCTATAAAAGACTCACCAAGAACAACTTTACAGAACACCTTCCTTCGCAACAAACGTCTACCTGATCCTTTGAATGTCTTGCTGTGAGTCTCGTCTCCAGGGATGCTGTAGCGTCCCCACCGGCCCCACCACCACCATCTGCTCCTCAGATGTATGCTGTCGAGGCGGAGCCTGCCTGCCCAGCACCTGCCCACACGAGATCATGCTCCTTCAGCCCACCTGCTGTGACACCTGCCACCCACCCTGCCTTGTGCCTGACTCCTGCGTACCCGACTCCTACGTGCCAACCTGCTGGCTGCTCAACAGCTGCCACCCGACTCCAAACCTGAGCGGAATCTCTGTCACAACCTGCGTCCAGCCCTGTGAGGGTGGAGAAAAATCCTAGTAGCCAAAGATATCTCAGTGAGCTTGCCCGCATTGCCCTAAGGGACTGCAATTATCGTTAAAAGCTGCTCAGCAAATGGCCTTTAATAAGAAGCTCTAGAAAAAATGTTCTGATTCTGTGCCTTCAGTTTTGCAGAAGTGTTCTACATTTTGAACAATGATTTCAAATAAAAAGTGGAAAAAAATGCTGTCATGGACCTCCTTGCTTTAAATAAACACCACTCTTTCCCAAACCATGGGCTGTCTCAATGTCTAATGCCATAATTACCTGACTCTTGACACGTGTATGCATCATGAACCCATAAATATGTCCAGCAGAATTACACTTTCTGATGACATCAACATAAATCTCATAGCCAAAAAGAGGTCGCACAGGGATATGTAAATATGTGAAGAAAATTGCCTAGATAATAAAATATATTATATTAAACTCTAAGCTTAGAATCACTTTAAATTCCAAGGTCAGTATCTATTTTTAATTTTAATATTTTCCCTGCCTCTGTAAGTAACTCACTTACATCCCTAAAGAGGCTAAGAAGTTGGCAATTAGAGATCAACAAACTTGCAGAAGAGACCCAAAACACTGAGCTGAGCCACTTTTTTTTTTTTTCATTGTTTTGTTTAGGTGAAGCTTTGAATGTAAAACAGAACAGTTTTTGAATGTAAATCAAAACAGACAACTGTAAAGCCCTTCACAAATGAAATGTCACTCATTGTGTAGTATTTTATATTATTATTAGAGGCCATTCTAAAAATAAATACATGCAATTTTTCATTCTAATCTGTTATTTAATGCAATTCAGTAAACATTTATTAAATGCCTGTGTTCCAGGCATTGTCCTAAGTGCTGCTGTTGAGACAAAGACACAATTCCCACTTTTCAAGAGTTAACTTTGGAGTAAGGAAGACAAATACAGATGAAAAACTACAATATATAGTAGAATAAAATGTGAGAGCAGAGACAAGAAGGAAAACATCTAGAAGAACCACCTAAAGTTTCCTTATGAAGGATATTCAAGCTGGAATTAGAGGGACAAGTAGGATTTGAGAAGTAGCAAATAGAGGAAGGACAAAAGAAAAAATATTGTTATAAAGTACCTAGGAGTCCCCAACCTTCATTTCTATTTGATGTGTTTTATGATAAACATCAATATTTAAGTCAAAATCAAACCAACTTCACAAACAAGTTCGTCTTCTCAAAATATATGAGGTTTACTAACCAATGACATTTAGTATTTTCCACGGATTTTATTTTAGCCAACTTCCTTCTCTTTTAGGCAGACTAGATTGGTCTTCCCTAACGTCTCCTCAGAGACAACAGATTCTGTATATTGTGTTTATTCAACAAATCTATAATTTAGACAATAGATTCTGTACATTTGCTATTTAACAAATTATGTAATTTAGATTCTACTTTCTGAATAATTTTGTGCTGATCATGGGGGATGTATGCAGAAATGTTAGAATCATAGTATACTACACATGGGAGATTACTTGGTTCAACTTCCTTATCTGCCAACTTACAGTAAGGCAAATCAAGGTGAATTGAGGCAAAGAATGTGTGTAAGGTATTCCTCAAAGGAATTTACAATCTAATCGAAGCCCTAAGATATGAAAGCAAATAAACATACAAAGTAGGAAGTAAGTCAGTGAAAAAAAAATGATTTCTATGAATGCCATGGTGCTAAATCACATTGGATCAAATTCCCTTCAAGAACCCACTGTGATGTTGTGAATCTTATAATTTCTTCTTTCCTGCATCTCATTTTAAAGTATATAATTCCTGTGAAAATGAATGAAGACTGAGGTGATTTTCTTATAGTGGTATATTTAACAATAATAAAAAAAAGCCCTGGGTGAATCTTTTCCAGTGGATTCACACTTTGACTCACTACAACACTGGTACAACTTTGAGAATATAAACTGTTTTTTTACAAATTCCATAGAGCAACACAATCTTTGGAAACTCACTATAGATTTATTAAAAATAATGAAAAGGGTTTCATCTTAGTCTATTCTGGCTGTCACCTTGCTTGCTCAATAGAAACTGAATTATATCATCAATAAATAAGGCAAATATATCTGTGATGTATATATGCATATAGTCACATGCAACATTCATCTGTAAGGAGCTATGTCTTGATGCAGTTAATCAAGTTGCATATTCTGAAATTATTCATTAAAAATCATATAATGTTAAGCATATTATTTAAAATTATGGGGGAGAATGAAGAGAAGAATTTAGCCTCTGAAACTATAGCTGAATTGTCACTTGGATTCATTATCCATAATTTCTGCAAGATTTGGCATTCCAGAACCCTGTAAAGATAAAAGTGATCATCTAATGACAAGTCAATGAGTCAAACACATGATTACCCGAATAAGCTCAGGAATTCTTAATGGACAAGTAAATACCAAACTGATTAGAGAATCTTAGTGGAAAAGAGTGGCATAAATGTAAATAAGAGGAAGTCTTCTGATTGGACCAACACTCAACGAGAGGAGTATATAAGAGTCCCAAAGTGAGAAGAGACATTTCATCCTAGAAACCTCATCTTTCTTTCCTAGAAACCAAAAGCAAACCAGCTTCCCAACACCATGGCTTGCTGTGCTCCCCTGTGCTGCAGCGTCCCCACCGGCCCCGCCACCACCATCTGCTCCTCTGACAAATTCTGCAGGTGTGGAGTCTGCCTGCCCAGCACCTGCCCACACACAGTCTGGCAACTGGAGCCAACCTGCTGTGACAACTGCCCCCCACCTTGCCACATTCCTCAGCCCTGTGTGCCCACCTGCTTCCTGCTCAGCTCTTCCCAGCCCACCCCAGGCCTGGAAACCATCAACCTCACCACCTACACTCAGCCCAGCTGTGAGCCCTGCATCCCAAGCTGCTGCTGACCGATGGCTGCCTCACCCAGTGCCTGGCGATAACACAGAAGCTATCTATTTGATATTTACTTGCCTTGGTAGTTTATCAAATAATGATGTAGATCAGATGGCATAGATATGGAAAACCTAACTTTCATTTTCATGGAAAGAAAATTTTTAAAAATATGCTTATTTGGCTGAGTAATGCTTTGGTTCATTTGGATAGATAGAGGTCACCTATTATCAAAATAATAGTACAATCTATAAGACCTCAGACTGTATTTTCTTGGTCATGTTGCTTCTTGGGTTCCATTTCTTGTATTGGGCATTTTCATAGAGGAAAAATAACTTTTGATGGTTTTCCAATAAACTTTGTTTCTGTGGCAAGATGTGTTTTTCATTTATGTTACAGCTTTTGGTATATTTCTTTCATTTAAACAAAATAAAGGAAAGATAATTAAAAAAAAAAAAGAATCTCAGAGGAATGACTAAAACTAGCTTACTAACATGGCTTGCTAACTTTAAATTGCTTATCTTTATATTCACCCTCTTTTCTCTTCCTCAGACAAATACAATTTGGGGGTGAGACATTTACTTACCTACACTTTACCAGGTAGATCACATGTATTAATTCATGTAACCCTTAAAACAGCATAAAAAGAAAAATGAAGCTTTAAGAGTGATTCAACATTCTCAAAGTCACAAAGTTATTAAAAAATACCAAGATTCAGCTCCTTGTATATCTATTTGACTTTAAAGCCCTATTCTTTCTATCACATCACAGAGCCCCCAGTGCTAACAGAGCCAGAAACTTGTTAAACAGTTATGACATTAACTTAAAATATGAAAAAGAAATAAAAGTATAAAAATCTTTAACAAAATCATCCAATCCAACTGTAATGGACAAGGATATATTGGCTTATAGATTAAAAGTGGCAGGTATTCAGTTCTAAGAGCTGGGTCATTTAGTGGGCCTACCATTTGACTTCATTTTCCCTTGGAGAGAACTTACAGTGGTCATTTCTAGTAGTAGGGCAATAGGAATATCCTTCTACCTGCCACAATACTATCCCAGTAATGAATAGAACACCAATATTTTCCAGGTGATTGTCTGAGGGCTAGAGCTAAAATCTGATTAAACATGGTTTAATCTACTACTTAATTTTACTTTGTTTTACCAACCTACTTTTTTTTATCTTACACAGATTATTTTCCCAGCCTTAGATTACATATATATAAATATATTTTAGAATAGATAATGTATAAGTATATATTAACTATTTATATAAAATATCTATACATATAATATATACATTAAGGTGCACATCAAACTCTGATAAAGCATTGAGCTAGAACCAAAACCATACATGTGAGAAAGAAAATGAGCAAGAGGAGAAGCACATGGCTTTAAATAAATGTTTTTAAATGTCCTCATTGTCACTGTCACTCTCTCCAGAGAAGAATTTCTCAGATGATCCCACAGGCTTATTAGAAGCTCGACTTTGAATGAACAGAACTTAGAAGCCATGGCGTAGATGGAACACAATCTAGGATATAGTTAACAAAAGATTTAGTCCATTTACTCATTCACTTGGCCAACATTTCTTGCAAGCCTCCCCAGTGCCAGGCTTCTTTTTTTTTGCTTTTTTTTTTCCCATTTATTTTTATTAGTTGGAGGCTAATTACTTTACATCATTGCAGTGGTTTTTGTCATACATTGAAATGAATTAGCCATGGATTTACATGTATTCCCCATCCCGGTCCCCCCTCCCACCTCCCTCTCCACCCGATCCCTCTGGGTCTTCCCAGTGCACCAGGCCCGAGCACTTGTCTCATGCATCCAACCTGGGCTGGTGATCTGTTTCACCCTAGATAATATACATGTTTCGATGCTGTTCTCTTGAAAGATCCCACCCTCGCCTTCTCCCAGAGTCCACAAGTCTGTCTGTGCCAGGCTTTAAATCCACACTAACAGTATAAAGATAAAAGAAATGTTTATCTAAAGTGCTCTCAAGTTTCTCTCAAATCTGGAGAAGGAGACAGACAAGTTATTACAATCACAGTATATGTGTTCTATGTATGTTGTATGAATGTAATTATAATGCCATGGAATTTCTGCTGTGATGGAGCCATGAGCAGTATGGCAGGCAAGCACACAGACAGAGTAACTAAGACCCAGATTTGTTTGGTGATTCAGTGTCAGGCTGAGGGGCAGTTATGAAAAGGCTTCCAGCTATCCAAGCTAAGCATTGAAAGATGATGAGGCAGAATAAAAAAAGAAAAGAGATGATGAGGTGGAAGAGGTGAAGAGCAGAACAGGAGCTTACTAACTCATGGATGCATTGAAGACGGGAGAGGCTGAGGCCAACGAGAAAGAAGAAATGCAAAGACCCTCAAGTGGGCCCCCAGCAGAGAGATTCAGGCTGAGCCCTAGAAGCAAGAGACTTTGAGATTTGAAGCAAGAGACTAACAATCATATTTTACTTCTTATTTTTATTACTTCTTATGATCAATCTTTGTATCTTTACTGTCACATATACCCCTACTGACTATAAAAAGGTGTAATTAAAACTGGACAAGTTCTAGACTCACAGACATACAGAACAGACTTGTGGCCGCCAAGGAGAAGGGGAATGGGGAGGGAAGGACTGGGAGTGTGGGATTTTTTTGTAGGATGATGAGCAAAAAGTTCCCACTGTATATAGCACAGGGAACTATGTTCAGTATCCTATGATAAACCATAATATAAAACAACATTAAAAAAGAATGTCTGTGTATAACTGAGTCACTTTGCTATACAGCAGAGATTGACAAAACATTGTGAACCAACTATACTTCAAAAAAGAAAAACTGGACAAGTTCGTGTGTGGATGTGCATGTATGTGTGTGTGTGTGTGTAGGTTTTCAAACTGTTGAAATTCATCAAGGATCACCATATTTTTCCTGCACTTGCTTGAAGGAAAAGGGTACCTTTTCTTTCTAAAAATAAAATGTTTAATATCCCTGACACATACTTTAAACTTACATTTAAAACCACATAAAAGGTAACTCAGTCCCAGTAGGTCCTCTATTTAGTTCTTAACAAGTCGGTCACCAGGCTACCTAAGGCAAATCATTTTGCCTCTCTAGGACTCATGACCCTAATTTAAAAACAAAGGAGAGCTATTCCCAGGTCTCTTGGACAATTGCAGGGAAAATAAATTTTAAAGAAGTACAAGTCCTTTCAATAAAAGATATGAGTTTATTCATAAACTTCGTATTTTATGACTCTTTCTAATCTGTAATGCGAAGTTTTACTTCTAGTTCTGCTGCTGCTGCTAAGTCACTTCAGTCGTGTCCGACTCTGTCCGACCCCATAGATGGCAGCCCACCGTCCCTGGGATTCTCCAGGCAAGAACACTGGAGCGGGTTGCCATTGCCTTCTCCAATGCATGAAAGTGAAAAGTAAAAGTGAAGTCGCTCAGTCTTGTCCGACTCTTAGCGACCCCATGGACTGCAGCCCACCAGGCTCCTCCATCCATGGGACTGTCCACCCCAGGAATGGGGTGCCGTTCCTTCTCATTCTATAAACATACTATTCCACACAGAACAGTAACAATTCCTTTATCCTCACAAGGTTGATTCAAAATAATATGTATTCTAAGTAAGAGACTGATATTTTTCTGCCATGAAATTCTAACTGCAAGAGTCTGAAAACTCCTTTATAACACTTTTCTTTAAAATGTCAAAAGAATTTCCTTCAGCTTATTTTTTTATCCTTGGAACCCAGTCTTTTCTTTTCCCATCATAAATTGTAACAACAGTAACTTATAATAATACATTATGACATGACATATACATATAACAAACCTTCCTCCAGACCCAAAGTTTCATGAAAGCAGAGATGATGTTTATTTTGTTCACTGTTCTATAATCACAGTTCCTGGTATATAGTAACAGCTCAATAAATATCTACTGAATTATATTTCAAACACTGGAAAAAATATTAATCTGTCCTGAGTAAAAGGGTGAGCAATTTGGCAGGTATTCACTCAAAGATTCATCTGGGGGAAATCAAGGGACATCAGTAAAGATCGTAAACCCTTTATTTCAAAAAGAGCCACAGAGAACTTTTTAAAATTTGAAATGTATTCATTTCTGTGCCAGCCATTTTCTCTAAGTGTAGGTGTGAACTTTTAGGTAAATTTTGCTGTTTCCTGTAAGGTTGCTCTTTAACTTACTTTCTCTGCCTTCCTTTTCCCCTGAGTTTGATCTGTAACTTGCTTGGATAATGACAATAATTTACCTTTGCATTACACCTCATCTATGGATATTAACCCATTTTTATCTCATTCGAGCCTCACAATAATCTTCAGAGTGGAAGAATGTAAATATAATTATCCTTATTTTACAGAGGAGAAAGATGAGCTTCCAAAAAGTTAATTGCTTGCCATAGCAAGAAAGGTAGCCAGCAGTACAGTGACCAGTAAAGAGCTATTCTAACTCTTAATGGGGTCCTCTTGAATCCACACCCTCTCCAGGAAAAAAACCACACGGACTTTCCCACCATTGTGCACTGAGATACAGGCAGACTTAAAGGAAGAGAGGAGAACCATGGCTTGAAGGATGAGTGAATCCAAGTTGAGAGGAAATGGCTTGAGTTGTCAGGATGGCCCTGGACAGGAGTCTGCACTGTGCTCACTCTATGCTGGACTATGCTTGAAGTCTAAATGGCCTACTGGAGCTAGAATCCGGGTCTCGCTTACCACAGCTACATTTCACTTGGGGAGAAAATGTACTACTTTGGAGGGAAAAAAAACAATGAACAAAATCGATTGTGGATAGATTAACATAGGTCTTTAACTTCACTTTCCATTGGTAGCAATATTGGTAGTGAAATTATTCTTCTACTTAGTATTTAGATATAAGTTAAAAATTCAACTTTCCCACACTCAGTAGAGGAAGAAACAAAATAAGCCAGTTTTCGATAGAAATATACATGGCCAATGTGTATATGAAAGAATGTTTTAACCTAACAGTTATGAAAGAAGTGCAAATACTATAACAATAAAATTTCATTTTTGCCTGACAAACTGACAAACACTTTTAAAATAAAATATTCATCATCAAAGTATACAGACACAGGAATTTTCAAATAGCAGTTGGGAACATGTAAACAGGAAAAAATAGCTAAATAAAATTTTTTGGACTCCTTTTCCCTATTCTAACTACCTAACAAAATGATCAGACACGTACATAAAGATTTATGTACACAGTTGTTACTATTGCCACAATTATCTTAGAAGAAAAGTTGCAAACAGTTTAAATGATTAATATATGAAGTTTCTCAGCAACTTAGAAGTACAATTACATGACGAACATTAGGAAATACTTAAAATAACATTATC